ATTAATTAAGTGATCAAAAGGAGACTAATTAAATATATGGGTTGATTGTGTAAATAATTCATTCTTATATATGTGGGCTTGTGATCCAAGATTCCTTATGTTGGACTAAGTCCATGAGGTGACCCATGGATACTCCATGGAGGTTAAAATCCATGGAGCATAAGGAATGGGTAAAGTTATGAGTTACATGGTGTAACCCTAATAGCCACCATATAAAAGAATCCCATGGCTCAAGAAATCGTGAACTAATGTGTGAATATGAGGGCTAGACGATTTCAAGGAGTGTTCCATTTCTCTCAAGTCATTCCATGTGCATTTGGTGTTGTGTGAACCATTTGAGGTGTCACACTTGGGGCACTAGGCACTCAAGCTTCATGGAGACAAGCTACATCAAACAAAGGTATGTATTCTATCCATTTGATTACCCAAGTATCAAGTATTGTATGCTAGATAGGGTAATACCTTGGAAAGTTCATAATTGCATGTATAATAGAGAAAACATAGATCCAAGGTATTTAGGGTTGCATGTACACTTAGGAGTGTTAGAATGCGCAAAACCCATCAATTTCACCATCAACCCATCATCAATAAGTATTCTAGCTATATAGCTCTTGTGTTGGTACACCATTAACCCCTCAACAAAGCATATTAACATATCAGCCAATCAACCAATCAATCAACATACAAAGGACTATACTATACTACTTGCCTAATCAACATACCACAATACATCTACCTCCTAACATACAAAGGACATACACGGTAACACATAATATAGTGAGAGAACTTACATGAACATTGTGACAACTCGAAATTTCTATCTTGTACAACCATTCACTTCAATAGAAGTCAGATTTGTTTCTGCTAACTTTTAAGCTGTTTGGAGTCAGTTTGAGTGTTCTACGGCCTAGACCTTCAAAAAGGAAATTATAAGACGTATACTCTAGGGTTTATTGTGCATCAATAAAGTCTCAAAACTCCAAGAGTTTGGAGTTTACGGCCCAAACATGGAGTTTACGACCGTAAACTCTAAGGAGTATAAATATGACACTTAGTCATTTTACTCATTTTTTTTACCATTTCCAAGCCAAGAACTCATTCTCTCTCAAGTATCATCCGATTTTCCTTCTTGATCTTCAACTTTGTAAGTGTTTCTTGCCTTGATTAGTTGATATCCTTCATCACCTAGTGATCTTACATGATTTCATCCATGAAATCTCTTCATTTTGATAGATCTTCAAGTGTTCTTTATTTCACCAAGAACACCAAGAACACACACTAGTGTTCTTGGACTTTAAACACCCTTACAAGCTTCTATATTGTAAGTACCCTTACCTTAGCTTATTATAGGCTTGATACACTTGTTAAACAACTAGAAAACATCAAGAAACACAAGATCATAAGTGTTTACGACCAAGGCAATCTCCTTGGGCCATAAACTCTAATGAAAGGGCCATTGTGAGCCCTAGTCCCTTACTAAGCCTTGGATACAAGTCTAGATCACTTCCTTGTGGAGTATAGGACCTTAAACAAACAAAAGAACCAAGCACACATGAGTTTACGGCCGTAAACTCATGAGGAATGGTCCATGGGCCGTAAACTCTAAAAGGTGGTGAAATGGTGCCACAATCACTTCCTAAGGCTTGGACTTGATCATAGTATGCTTAACCTTGACTTGTAAGACCTTAAAACACCAAATGGTAGAAGTTACCATGGGTTTACGACCGTAAACCCATTAGGACCGTAAACCCTAAACCGTAAACTCATGGAGAGTTTACCCTTGGACCGTAAACTCAAAAGCAAATCCCTACAACCCCTAGATGCAATCCTTGGTACTTATAGCACTTGAATCAAAGTGTTTTCCATGTTCTAGGGTGTCTTAACTTGACTAATTAGTTATTAAATGACTAATTGGATACATATATGTGTCATTATATGTTAAATAGGATCCGTGTGTGTGTTCAAGTCTTCACTTGACACTTAGCATCCTATACCATCCGTTCATCCAAACCACTCACTACAGGTGAGTTCATACCCCTTAATCAACCTTTTAAATGATTTTAAATGCTTTTATGGGGGGGAATACAAGTTGAACTATTATAGTTATTATATCAATCACATGTGATTAATAACTACCAAACAAGTGGATTTCTTACTTTTCAAACTGTGTTATCAAACAAACTACTTCAAACTGTGTTATCAAACAAACTACTTCAAACTGTTTTACAAACTCTTTTACATGTTAAATACTTTCATTAAACTCTTTTAAACTTATACTTTGTCAAATGTGTATCTATATAGATATAGTTATATAAGTAGGATTGAAAAGACTTAGGACTGATAGCTCGCCTTGCTTCCTGTTCCTTGTTTGGTTGTGGACTTAGGGTATCGGTTATTTGTCCGAAGGTCGTTTGAATCCTAGTTATATATTATATATATGTATATAGATATAAAAGTTACTTCTTTGATTTCAATACCTTTGGGTAGCAAGGGTATACAAACATGTTCATACATACAAGCAACATTGCTAGTAAACTATAATAGGTATAGTTTAGGAAGTTACAAATACTATTACTAGAACAATGAAACGTATAATGAGTCAGTTCATACATGAGTCAATAAATACTATGATGAGAAACAAACATAACATACAGATAGAGAATACTATAACGAGAAACAAACAATAATATACAGAGAGAACATACATACATACTAGACAGAGAGAGATCATACAATACAGCTAGTACATACAATACATATACAAGAACATTACAAAAGTTATGTGAACCACATAACGGGGCATGGCATCACCTGTCATGGCTTGTTTTGTATCCAGAGTCTCCTAGAAGGAGAGCGTTGAATTTGTGTATAGATCTATACTGGATTGTCCTACACCTTGCTGCTCACTATAGTGGGACTTGCAAGTCTACGGGTGCCAAATGTCATTTCTTCCGACGTCTTTCATCGTCGTGTTTTTAGTCGGTAGTATGGTACATGCATATCACATGTTACTTTAAATAACAATTGGTTTAAGGTAATTAGTACAGCAGTAGTTACTTAATACAACACTACAGTACTTTATTTATTTCCCCATTGCATTCACTTTGTGATCTTCACACAATGAACAGTAATGTAAAAGCTATATTTTTGGTTAATGATAGTCATATTTGGGAAATTACACACTTTTACAAGAAACAAACATACATTTCATTTGATGCCTTGGTAGAAGGCTACGTTTAGTAGAAAATATAGGATTTTCTAGGAGATACAAACATATACAAACTTATACATTAAGTACATACAAACACTTTCATACAAACAATGACACTAAAATACTTATGAACTCACTAGCTTTAATGCTGATAAACTCTTTCAAAATAACTTGTATTCTCAGGTCATCAGTAGACAGGTACCGATGTCAGGCTTTTGAGAAGATGGAGTTCGTTCAAGACTCATCTCATATTTTGATTTACATTTTTGGTGTCTTATAACTTTACAGAACACACTTGTATGAAATTATATTATTAATGCAATTGATGATGTTGTTGCTTGTTTACTACTATTCATTGTTGTGATACTGTACATGACGTCCTCCACCCCTGAACGTTTCCGTCGTTCCGGTTTTGGGGTGTGACAAACATAAGACCGATGAATCGCAACTACACGCTCGAAAACGCAAGAATTAGCCTCACGAACAACTTAGACAACAACCAAAGGTCAAACCTCGGTCCACAGCTTAAATCCCTCCAAGTTTAACCAAAAGTCAAACTAGTCAAAAGTCACAGTCAACTTGGTCAAAGTAACAGTCAGCAGACCTACGCGTCGTGCAACCTTCATGTAAGCGTCACGTACATAAAATGCCAAAACATGCATGTGACCACAATGCTACGTGATGTATACAAGGGTTGTTCACGTGACGTAGCACTGTTCACAGCAACCAACTTTGTTAAGTGCTTAATCCCACAAGACCAAAGCCCTGACATTCAAGAATACATCAAAATGTGATCCTAATGGATAAAGTTTGCAACTTTATTCACTTGCATTGCATGACTCCAAATAACCAATCAATTAATCTAGGTCAAAATGGTACCAAAATGATACCAATACCATGCATGGTTTAAAAGGAAGGATAAGGTTCACTTCATTTCACCACAATAGGTCCAGAAAATTCCAGAAAATGAGAAGACCCAAAAATCCAACGTTTGAACCCAAAGTTGTCTAAATTCCATCAAAATACCATTAAAGGTACATCATTAACGGGCTATCCCAGACTCCTACTAGGTCCGCCCTTAATCAATGGATGTCGGAGACTATGAATAAAAAAATATATAAAAATGTTTTTTAAAAGTGAAATAATTCCAAACGTATAAACAAACATTATAAAACGTATTCACAACAAATATTATAAAATGACAACTAGTCTATATAATAGGTTTCTCTAAATTTGATTTGATCTCATCTTTCAGAGCTCTATATACTTTCACAACAAATATTATAAAATGACAACAATTAAAAATAATGTTATATGATTATTATAATATATATATTTTTTATACGCAAGACATTGATAGATACAATTGACAAATGAATAGATGTTTATCTTATCATATTGTTTAAAATTATTATTACATTAATAATAATTAATATTAATAACATAATAATTTTCAGCAATAGATTTATTAAAATTTGAAGTAATCACTTTGGTTCTGGTGACTTGATAAAACATGTGGAAGATATAATGTATAACCTATTGACTCATGTTCAAATCTTGACACTACTCAGCTCCTGTGGCTATAGAGCTTCGTCTGCTATGACTCCAGGACATGATGCATAGTCTCATGTTTGCAGCGATGGATTAGTCGATGCTCGAAATCTAACCAAGAAACCCTCGTTAGGAAGTTCACTTTCCTAAATAAAATAAAAAATAATAATAGTGAAGTATATAATTGTAGGCAATGCAAAGAACAAATTCGTCAAGTAAACTAATTATAAAAGTAAAAATTGATGAAAAATAAAAACAGCTTGGCAGCAATCGATATCATTTTCTTTTTGACCTCCTTCCTGAATATTGGGCAGCAAAAGCAAAAAGCAAAAAGAAGGAACAAATTCGGAGTTTTTGGGTATCAAAAATAAAATAATGGCAGAAATAAAAAAGCCAATGAGAAAGCAAGAATAGAGCTGTTCATGAATTCAAGAGGAATAAAAATTTCGCATACCCACTGGTTTCTTAATATCTTTACAATCCCTGGGCGAATTGTTCAAGCTAAAATCTGCCGATCTTTGTACCTTGTTATTCAGGTGAACTCTTACTCTATCTTCTAGGGTTTCGTTTATTACTGATTGTATCTGTGTTCTTGATCTCTGTTGGACTCGTTCTTTTTTCAACGTTTTCTTCAACGCGTTTTGAGTTCAATTGAGGTGAAGTCAAGTCTATTCTTTATGCTCGTTCTTATTTAAGCTTTGCGTGTTTGTATATTTGATCAATTTGAATTCCGACATTACTACTTCGAATTCTGTAGAGAGATCATAAACTTCTGTCGGTTATTTCTCCAGGGTATGTATATTGTATTGATGATTTGTGGTTTCGATAATTGCTTAGCGATTGGGGATATGATCTAGTATTGCTTCGTTTTGAATTGTAATGTGGTGGTAATTGGTAAAAGTTATAATCGAAAGTCGAATTTTCCCCCAATTTGCGAAAGATTCCATTTATGCTAAGTTTATGTATTCGATTCTTTAGGTAGGATTGGTATCTATAACTTGTCGAGTTATTACTTCTTCTTGCATTTATGCTGGAAATTAAACTAACATTATAAGTAGATTACTTTTGAAGATGATATTTTGTTGATGTTTGTCCATTAATGGAATATATTTTATCTCCCTAGTTAACTAATTATCTCTGATTTTGTTTAGCTTACTGTTTTCCAAGATTGTGCAATATGATACATCTAAAGCTGTCTTGTTTTTGTTCTTCTGGATTGTTATTAGCTTCATTTGAAGCACTCTTTTATTCTTTCACATGCATATATCATCTCTTGAGCATAACACCCAAGTTTATCATTTTTTGAATCCACAGTCAAGCTCTGCAACAATTTAGGCTCATTAATAAGATGAGTAAAAGATCACACAACTCATACGATTAAAGGTAAATATCAATTCTACTATTCAAGCATGTTGTTGTTGCTAAGGTTATGAACAAAACTCACATTATAATTATATGCTACTAAATGAATTTATGCAGCTTCATAGGGAGTTCAAAAAGAATATCATCTATGGAGTTTGGCTTTTCTAGGGATCACCTATATGAACAATATTTTCTCAAATAAGCAATCACAAGTTTGCAAATATAGGTCTGTGATACTTTTCTAAATTTTGGAATTAAGATTATAGTTATTTAATTATCTCCTAGATTATGATTTATTGTCAATTTACAGGTGTCATGGAGATATCACTTCTGAAAGTCCTTCTCAAAAACATCTCTACTTTCTTTCATCTCCCATCTCATGAAAACAGAAATTCAGAAATCATTCAAAAATACTACCAAAAGATTGAAGAAATACTCAAATTAAATAAACCAGTACTCGAATCCATCACTGATTCAGAAATCTCTTCCAATGAATCTCTCCAAAAAGAATTTGCAGGATTGAGTCAATCCATTGATGAACTCAGAGAGCTTCTTGAAGATTGCCACCCGTTGATGAGCAAAGTTTACTTTGTATGTCTTAATCACCCTCATTTCCAAATTTTAATTTTCTTGAAATTATAAAAATTCATTTTGTATCTCTATTTCTTTCACTTTTTAGGTTATGCAAATTGAATCATTATTTGCAAAGATTCGTTCTCAAAGCTTACAACTTTTTGAGCTTCTGCAATCTTCTAATGATCTCCCTGATGAATTAAGTTCATCATCACTCGAGGTATTCCATAATTCCATAAATTTAATAAAGAAATTGAATTACACAAATTAATAAAACTACATATTTGCTTTTGTAGCATTGCATACAGAAAATCAAACACATGGGTCATGAAAAATTATCATCTATACTTTCAAAAGCAATAAGGGATCAAGCAGATGGATCTGGACCTAGTGTTGACTCAAGGTCAAAAATTGCTGACTTTCTTAACCTAAAGTCAAACCAAGAACTTTTAATCGAAGCTGTTGCCCTTGAAAAACTAAAGGAAAACGCAGAACAAGCAGAAAAGATTGGAGATTTAGAAGTTATTGAAGAAATGATTAATCTTGTTACACATATGATTGATTGTTTAATTGAAGCAAAACAATCAGAATCTTCAAACCCTGTCCCAATTCCACCCGATTTCTGTTGCCCTTTATCACTTGAATTGATGACAGACCCTGTAATTGTAGCTTCTGGACAGACATATGAGCGGGGGTATATTCGTAAATGGCTCGATCTTGGCCTCACTGTGTGCCCTAAAACCATGCAAACCCTAGCCCACACTAATCTCATCCCTAATTACACCGTGAAAGCCCTAATCGCAAACTGGTGCGAGTCAAACAATGTCAAACTCCCTGACCGGTTAACACCCGTAGGGGTAATTTCGTCATTTCACAAACCCAATTCTCCCGTCCACCATCACCATGTCCAAACACCCTCCGTCGATTCCTTACCGGAAAACACACCGGAATCCGGCGACCAAGGTGAAAACTCAACGGTGTCGAATACAAACGAGTCTCAGGCGGATGAGGTGGTGGTGCCGCCGGAGGTGGCGGTGGAAGTGGTGGCTCAGCCTTCCGCTGCCACTCCGCGGCGGGACCACGAATACTCGCCGCGGTTCGAACCGAGGCCGAGAAACCAACTATGGCGGAGGCCGTCGGATCGGTTCGGCCCGCGGATCGTGTCGTCTCCAACCACTGAGACGCGACCGGATTTAACCGCGGTTGAAACCCAAGTCAAGAAATTGGTCAACGAGTTGACCGACACGTCAATCGATGTGGTTAGAAACGCAACCAGTGAGTTAAGATTACTCGCGAGACACAACATGGATAACCGCATCGTGATCGCAAACTGTGGCGCGATAAATTTACTAATCGGTCTTCTAAAGTCAACGGACGAAAAAGTCCAAGAAAATTCCGTAACCGCCCTTTTGAATTTATCGATAAATGATAATAACAAAACCACGATTGCAAACGCGGACGCGATCGAACCGTTGATTCACGTGCTCGAGACCGGGAGCTCGGAAGCGAAAGAAAACTCGGCCGCCACGCTTTTTAGTCTTTCGGTGATTGAAGACAACAAGATAAGAATCGGGCGGTCGGGGGCGATTCGTCCGCTTGTGGATTTATTAGGGAACGGGACACCGAGGGGTAAAAAGGACGCGGCGACTGCTTTATTTAATTTATCGATTTTTCACGAAAATAAAGCGAGAATCGTCCAGGCTGGCGCGGTGAGGTATCTTGTTGAGTTAATGGACCCCGCGGCAGGGATGGTGGATAAGGCGGTTGCTGTGTTGTCGAACCTTGCGACGATTCCGGAAGGTCGGGCGGCGATCGGGCAGGAGGGCGGGATACCGGTTTTGGTTGAGGTTGTTGAGTTGGGGTCCGCGAGAGGGAAGGAGAATGCCGCGGCGGCGCTTTTGCAGTTGTGTACGAATAGCAGTCGGTTTTGTAATATGGTGTTGCAAGAGGGGGCGGTCCCGCCGTTGGTTGCTTTGTCACAGTCGGGGACCCCACGCGCTAAGGAAAAGGTGTGTTTTTTTTTTTAGTTTTTGATAGTTAGGGCATTTACGTCTTTTTGCACAGACAAGAGATCGAGCGCGTGTCCCGTCCCATCTTTTACGGTTCGACAAAAAAAAATACAATTTTGTCCCATTAATATCAGTCTCAGCACCAGTCCAATGCACCTGTTCTGTCATGTCATGTGTAACAAACGGGGCCCGTTTGTTACGAAAGATGAGACATGACATGACAGAATAGACTGTGTTTGATATGCATTGGATTGGGACTGAGACTGATATTAATGGGACAACTTTTTTTTTTTTTTTTTTTTTTTTCGAACCGTAAAAGACGGGATGGGACACGCGCTCGATCTCTCGTTTGTGCAAAAGACGTAAACGCCCTCATCATTGAATGTTTGGTGATAATATATAAAATTTTAAATGTTTGGTTGCAGGCTCAATCGCTGCTAAGCTACTTTAGGAACCAACGACATGGGAATGGTGGGAGGGGGTGATGGTGATGGTTTTTGAGGTAAGATATGTATACAATTGTATATCTAATGTTGCAAATAATGCATATGGAGGTTGTGTTTTTTCGGGGTATTGTGTTGATTTGTGACAAAAAGAGAGGACATAGAAATGATTTGTGGAGGGGAGTTTGATTGAGTCCTCTCGATGAATAACTTTGTGGTTAAATTTGCAGCCTAATGTAGTAGTGTGAGTTTGTTTGTCAGAAGAATGAATATAACTCATATTTTCCTTATGAAAAATCTTAGATCCTTGTTTCTTTCTTTTTGTTATATATAATATATTTTCATGTGTAGTTTTGGAGCATATGGTGCATTGTTGATAAAGAATAGGTTTATGCTATTTTTGGAAGTATTTATTTGATATGTCTCATGTTTTCTTTATTTGATTCCTACTTTTCGGCCTTTTGACCAATTTGTGTCCATTAAAATTGTTTGGTTTAAATTGGTTATCGAATCCGAATATTTAATATCCCATAATTTGACGAAGAAGACTTGTATATTAAATAAAAAAGAATGTTCTATAGGACAATGTTCCTTTTGGTTATGTTATCTTTACATATTTAATTGATTAAATATGTTAAAAGTAAAAATAATTAATATCCATTTATGATTTCTATTGAAAGTTAAAATAATGAGCTTAGGTTTATCATGTATTATTATTATTTTTTAATAGATAACTTATTTTTATTAAAATTTTGAAACATTTAACATAAAAACCTAAAAAGTTAAAAAGAAAAAGGAAAACAACCGATGGTTTGGTTTTCCAAAGTCGAACCAAATCTTTTGATGCTGTTTCGATCATAGTAAAAAACCGATTCAAACAATACTCACCCAGTCACCTTTACATAGGAATCAACCAAATTCTTGTATCTGTCACCAACACAGTGTAGTCTAACAAATTTATACACCATAACATCTTTCTAAATCTTATTAGAAGTCTCGTTCAAAATCAAAGCAAAGAATTGACCCCTAATGTAGTCCAATTTTACTATGAACGACTCAGTGAGTCAGTGTCGTTGGAATTCTAACACATGTGGTGGTTCAACAGTTGGGTTAATCACTTCGATGACCAAAATGAGCCGGTCTTATCATAGGATATCCACATTTTGAACAAATACTACATAGTACATAAGTATTTTGCAAAGACAAAATTGCAAAAATGGTCCCAGTGGTTGGCAAAATTCTGTGCTTTTGGTCCAAAACGAAACGTTTGTGTACCATTGGTCCAAAATTGAATATTTTTATTGGTTTTGGTCCCTATTAACATGAAAAGACTATAATACCCCTTATATTTGTTTTTTTAATTATTCTATATTTATTTAACTGTTTTTAATTAAACAAAAATAAAAAAAGGGGCCACCTCTGCTTCTTTCTTCGTCTTCTTCGGAAACCCCTATCCGCTTCTACAACCTTTTCCCCCTCCTTAGTTCAACTCCACTACCACCTCCCTGTTGTCTATCGTTCCTAATTCAAGAAACCAAACCTGGAAACAAAAGTAGAATTGTTTTTCTGATGGTTTATTTTTCTAAGAAATGGGTCCTGATTTTCGTTAAGATTTGAAGAATATTTTTGGATTTAAAGTTTATTTTTTTCATCTGTTCACCGGTTGTTCCTCCATATCTGTTCATCTTGTTCCTTTTCCAGATCACAAGAAATTTGTGTTAAATACATCATCACTATATATCTCTATATAATTTTTGTTCGAGATGAAGATATGAAAATAACATCATCCTGATGTTTTTCAGTTTTCGTAACCTCAAGAGAAGAAGGAACTCGGCGACGACCACAATTGGCGGTGGGAGGTGGGGCTTCTGTCGTCGTCGGAGGCAAGGTCGGCGCGCCTTGGCTTCACCTCGTCCGAATTGTTCCACCTCTGCTTCTTTCTTGGCCTTCTTCGCAAAGCATTGGACTTGCACTTTATCAAAACACAGCTCACCCCTTCCAATTGAAGCCATCGTCGGAGCTAGGACCTTCACTTTATGTGTTGTCGTCTGCTGTATCCAGCCACCAAATTGTTGTTATCTGATTTCCTCCGCCACTAGCATTCAATTAAAGACCATCACAGTTTCCTTAGCTCCTTAATTTATGTATCAGACAAGCCACAAGAATCCATATCCCTTTCCCTTCCCATATCTCTCCTTTTCTACTCCATTATCGACTTTTGATTTTGGCCTCTGAAAAAAATATTAGAAACAATTTTTGGATTTGATTTTTGTGGAGAATTCGATATGAGGACTTTAGTTTTTGGATTTGATTTGGGGATTTAAGTTTATCTGGGGTGGCTAGTGTCTTCAAGGTTAGACAATGGGAGGTGGGGGTGAGAAATTGGCAGTTTAGGCTATGGGAAGTGGGTTGTTGTCGTCGTCGGGGTCAAGATCGTAGGTGGAGCACAAAATTGCAAAAGGGCAGATCCGACGGGTGGTGGTGGTCCGGTGACATGTAGAAGGTGGTGGTCCGGCGGCGTTGGTGGTCCGGTAGGTGGTGGTCCGTCAGCAGTAGTGGTGTCAAGAAATGAAGTGTGAGAGGGAAGTGGAGGCAATGTTAGGAGTGAGAGATGTAGGGGGTGGGGGTGGGTTGGATTTTTATTTATTTATTTTTAATTAAAATAATAAGAAAATAATTAAAAAAAAAGTTATATAAGGGTATATTCATCATTTCAGGTGTGGTATGGACCAAAACCACATTAAAATGTGAAACATGGGGACCAAAACCACCCAAACAATTCAAAATTGGACCAGTGGTGCATAAACGTTTCGTTTTAGACCAAAAACATAGAATTTTGCCAACCACAGGGATCATTTTTGCAATTTTGTCTTTGCAAAATCATTTTCTAACAACATTATTATACCAAATTGTATTTTTATTTTACATAAAAATGTAAATTGTTATTCTATTTTAAGAAATTCCATGGATATCTCTAATTAACATTGTTAATTTTTTTTATAAAACCCATCTATTTTGATATTTTTGTATTAAAACATTTATTAAAATATCATATTAAACCAGGTGGCACGAGCTAGGGATGATATTCTCGACACGATCCGTGACATGACACAAACTTGGCACAAAAATAAATGGATTCGAGTTGAGATTTCTAACCCACCAACCCGCAAAATAAAAAGGTCGTATTTGGGTTAGTATTTTGGTTCACGGGTCAACCCGTCAATCCGTTTATTTTTTTGTTATTTATTTATTTTTATAAAAGCTATTATCGTTTTAAAGCAAACTCCCTCGAAGGTGGTTCACCATTTGGTGAAGATCCTGAGACATTTTGCCTTGTATTTGCAAGCATTGATGCATAACCCCCTCTTGGCCACCATAAAAAGAGCTTGGAAATATTTTCAACAATTGAACCCAAGACTTTCCTATGGAAAGATTTACCGTATAGTATATTAGATTTAAGTTATGTGATTGTGCCTGTTAACCTGTATGTGTTGCATGCCTAAATCAGATTTGTCATTATTATTACGCAAATAATATTTGGGTTTACAAATCAACCCGCCAACCTGTGAACCCGAATCTGACCCACGAACCCAAATTTGACCTACGAACCCACGAACCCGTATAACTAAACTAGTTATACGGTTCGCATCCCTGTTGACGTTACCTGCCAACCCGTGACACGAATAATTATATGGGTCGTATACTAGTTGATACATTTCAACCCACCAACCCATCAACCCGAACCCGATATGTGACATCCCCATTTTCACGGCCAGAAAAGACCGATTTTGTTTATGCTTTATAAAAATCAGAGTACCTCTTTTAATAAAAATGTTGCGGAATTTGTTCCCAGAAAAACATGATAAATACGTTATCAAAACATTTCCGAAGAAATGTATTTTTATTCATTTTAAAACATTGAGATGTCATCGTCAATACAGAAACATAAGCATAAACATAACTCACATTCATTATCACTAGTGATTTATATCTCCTTAATCTCTCAGTGTAATGTAACTTCATATCGACACCTGTGATTCAAATAAACTGAGTGGGTCAGATTGGGAAACCTGGTGAGTACATAGGGTTTTCAACCCACAATAATATAATTATTATGTTTAAACATCAAACAATCAACCCAATTACCCATCCCCATTATCTTCTTTACTCTTAAGGATCTACCCTAAGAATCAGCTATTCCTCGTTCATTCATTCCTAAGGATTATCCTAAGGAATCGGCACGAAGTCCATCGTTGCCATGGTTTACTCAATAGGCACTAAGTCTCATAGTCGCCAAGGTTATTCTCTTTTATCGACAGTATCGATTCCGAGACTCCTCTCACAACACATGTCAAGGGGTTTAGGCACTACATTGCATAGTCGCGAGGTTTAATCTCGTCTATCGACGGTGTCGTTTCCGAGACTCCTCTCACAACACATGTCAAGGGGTTTTTAGAGTACAGCTGGTGAGCACACAGTTCAAAACACCTACAGGTTGCGAGCCTGCTAGTGTCCACTGGACTGTCTAGAATAGTCCGTGGTTGTCATCCATACTCTGCTGAATGACGGGGCCAACACATGGGTAAAAGTCTTCTCTCATGGTTTACCTCTCACCCTTATCTCATGGTCTATATCACCTCTCATCATTTTGTTTTTGTCACACAACAACTATTTCATCTACCCATGTTTTACCCAACACATTTTGTAGATATAAATTACATACAGTTTAAATCATTTAAAACATGTATAAAAATCTTTCACCCAGCATAGACGGCAAGTATACAGACAATATGCACACATAGCATGTAATTTATATTAAATACTTCATATCTATGTGTAAGATGAAAGTAACTATGCACTCACTTGATTAGGTGGTGACTCTGCACTTGGACAGCACTTCGTTACTTTTAAAACAATTTCCTTCGACAAAACCTAGTATCATTACCACTAGGGTTTAGTCTAATATTTACCGAGACTAATTAATAGTCTATCCATTATTACTATTATATAAGCGTTAAGAAACACTCTTATATAACTCATATAATATCCCAAATAATTATTTTAAGGTCCTAATAATGTTACTATAATTAATTAGATGCTATATTAAAAATAGGATATGCGTAGCTTACTTATAGCGGGTTTTCTTAAAAACTGGGCTTCGCTTGGAGCAGCATTTCTGAGCCGAAGGGCTCTTTTCTCGGAGCTTCGGGAGCCTCGGGGCTTTCTTCGGGTGCTAGGGGGTTTACCTAGACTTTAGGGGGGGGGGGTTAGGGAGCTTAGAGAGAGAGAGAGAGTATATAGAGAGAGAAAGAAG